ACAATTATAAGCTTGGTTCTTATATTTACATTAAAATTCTTCTTTTATATTATTAATAAATTTAATATAATTAAAAAAATATTATCGTAAAATATTATTTCAATCCCTCAAAGTTAAACATTAAGATTTGTTACTCTTAAAAGTTAATATCATGGCCGACATCATCATTTGGAAATTCGAAAAAGAGAAGAAAACAGAGCAATTCTCCGAAACTTACAATGAGCAATTGTCAAAAAAAAAAAAAGGCAAAAAAGGGACTTGACTACCAAATCCTCCTTCTGCTTCAAAATAATTAGAATCCCAATCCAATCAAGCTGCTATCGGCTTCATCCAGAACTTAGTTTCTCAACAAACATGCCCTGTAAGATGTCTCTTATCCTTTCTATTACTTGGATTTTGGACTTTTAAACTCACATAATCTAATTTTAAATCAACTAAATTAAATTGGATTAAACTTTGACTCATGTAATCTAATTTTAAATTAACTAAATTAAATTAAATTGGACTTTGACTCATATAAAATAATCCAAAAATGATTAATTTGATATAAAATGTGTTCACAAATTTGATTAAAATATTTAAATTAACCCAACTCAAAATATTCAAATCAAGTATAATAATAAATCAAAATCGAATCATCCCATATAAAATTAGGTGTCTAAGCAATTTACTCATGGTAAATTGGTAATGTTATTTGAGAAGGAAAGAAAAGTGTATAAATTAAGGACTAGGAAAATATAAGTGAAAATTCATTAAAATAAATTCAAAATATAAAAAAAAAACTAAAAAAGATTAAATACTAATAAAATGTAACTTGAGAAATGACCACACACCAATGATGCAATTTACTCCCATTACTTGAAAATAAAAATGTTTAAGCTTGAATAAAATACTGATTCTCCCAATTTGTTTTTTTTTTTCTTTATATAAACAACAGCAAACTCATCTGATCTTTTTTTTTTCATTATAATTATATTATAAGTTGTTTTTGCAATTAAAATTGTATTGAATTAATTAAAGAAAGTTAGAAAAATCAATGAAAACACGTTGAAGAATACTTTATTTAGATAAGGAATATTCATGTAAAGTGAGTTTCCACATCAACTTTGAGAGAAAAGCAAACATTGACTTCGAAAGTCACATTTCTTTATTATAAAAACTTGTCACATTTCTCTTCCAAGAATCTGTTTATCTCTGTGAAAAAAAAAAAAAAGTAACGAAGATTATTTTGTCACGTCTAAGTTGGGGGGAAGCCAAAATGTATGAAAAATTAAGTGTAAAGGCATTGGCCAATTTTAGAGCATCAATTACTTAAGGATATTGCATTTGAAAAAGAAAAAAAAATGACAACCAAGCTTCGGTAAACCAAATTATAGTAATGTTATAAGATCTTGATATTTGATATTCATGGAGATAATTTTAAAATATATTTATTAAAATTTAATTTGATAAAATATTTAAAATAATTTACAACAAAATTTAAAAAATTAAATCAAAATACGTCAAGCTACGATAGTATATAAACATTATGTACAAGACAAAAGGGAGCAACAAATTAAAAATAAATAAAGAGAAGTGAATTTTTATATTCATGTCATATTTATTTTTTGTTAAATTTATATAAAAATACAAAATTATAATATCACAATTTGTCGTAGTGTCAAATATAAAACATGTATATTTTTTTTTTTAACCCATATATGATTTTTTTCAATTTTAAACCATACTATTTATATAAATTTTTTATCAATCTTCATATCATATAATTTCAAATATAAATTATTAGATTTGGAGTGTTAATAGCCAATAACATGCCTTTAAGCTTTATATTTTTTGATATTTCAAGTTGTTCAATAAAATTAAAAATCTATCATTATATCAATAAATAAGCTCCCGAACGAGCACAACAGCTTTTCATTAGAGTCTAGTGGGGCCATGCGCTCCCCCAAATTTTAAAAACTTTTTTAGACATATTATTTTTCAATATTTTTGAGATTTCTTTACAAATAAATTAGTTAGGCTCTTTCAAACTTAAATTTATTGTGTTCAAATATATTGATTTACTTTAGATTTACTTATTATAAATAATTTTTAATCAAAATAAATAAGTTAATTATTATTATTATAATTTCACAAAGTTGTAGATTTAAGTTTAACATATATATGAATATTATAATTATTAAAACTAATTACAAATATTCAATTGACATCCTTTTCTCTTTTAATTTTAATCAAACTTTTTTTATTATATATTGCATGCTCATTTTTTTGTGAAAATTGTTATGAGCCAAATAATTAAAAATGATTAGTTTTTAAGTGTCTTTTCATTTTTATAATTTTAAAATTATCATGTAAAAAATTAGATGATTTTATTTACTTGTATCAAAGTTTCTACTCTGTTGCTCTAAAATCTATTTTTATTTAAAAATATTTTTCTATCCATTTTTACTTTAATACTTAAGTATGCTTACTTTCTTAGAAAATTGTTACATACTAAAATAATTAATATGACTATAGCTTAAGTACCTTTTCATAATTTAAAAGTACCATTTTAAAAAAACATAAGGTTTCAATTTATTATATAAAAATTTTTACTCTATTGTATTAAAATTTATCTTTTATTAAAAAATATAATTTTTATGATTTTTTATTTTAATATTCAAAATATTAAATACGATAAAGATATAATATTTTCTTATAAAAAATGTTACTAGTGATATTTATATATATATATATATATATATATTCACATATCTTTTTGATACAATATGGGATTCTAATTCTCACTTTACATTTTTTTAAGTCTTTTTAATTAATTGATTAAGAAGCTGAAGGCATATTTTATATATTAACATACATATAATTATAAATTTTTTTTTATATTTACATTTAGAAAATTTTTATTATTAATAAATTTAATATATTTTAAAAAATAAAAAATTATTATCGTAAAATATTATTGCAATTCCTCAAAGTTAAACGTTAAGATTCATTACTGTTAACAGTTAATATCACGGCCGACATCATCATTTGGAAATTCAAAGAAGAAAAGAAGAAAGAGCAATTCTCCGAAACGTACAACGAGTAATTGTTCAAAAAAAGACGAAAAAAAAAGACTTGGAATGAACGAGTGGGCAGCTCTATATAATGGAGCATGAGCCCAAAGTGAGTACCAAACCACTTATCCTTTCAAAGTTATGGTTGACCTTGCAACTCTTAACCATAATTATGGTGAATTGCTAATAATCAATGAAATGAAAATAAAAAGCAATTATCAATCAATAAAAAATTATAAATAATATTTTTGGGAGAAAATTTTTAATTTCTTATATAAAATAATTCTAAATTAATAAATGACTTTTAATTAACTTGTTTTTTTCCATGTGATTTAGTGATTTTTTTGTAAATTTTATGTAATACAAAAATTCAAATTAAACCCAAAATGAACCGAATGTTAAAAGAAAAGTCACGAGTTCATGGTTTATGTGTCAAAAACAAAAAAGACAAAGACAAAGAAAAGTCTCAATTTCAACTCAAAAAGAAATTGTCATAAATCAATTATCTCTTTTACGTAATCATTAAATTAGAGAAAATTTAAAAACATGAACATTGTATCATGGATTGTTGACAGTGGATTTGTTGTTGGTTTTATCCCTTTTTTTATATATTGGATTATTTTTCCGTATATTTTGTGTTTTTTATTTTTTTCATAATTTTTTTTACATAGATAGTAGCTCGAGAATAAAAAAATCTTATAAGTATTAAGATTCAAATTTTAAATATGTTGAATATTAACTCTTGACATAATTACATGAATTAATTAAATTAAATTTTGATTTTTTTCTTGTTCTTTGCAGCAATATCTATTTATTTATATTTTGTTTAATTGATCGGTTTGGATTGATTATATTATTATTATTGTTGTTGTTGTTATTGTTGGATGGTTTTTACATATAGCTTGTGGTTTTTATTTGTGTTGTTTTATGCCTAATGTGAGAATTTGTATTTAGAATTGGATTTGTAAACGAGAGATATATGGTTTCACATTTAATTATTTGATTAGTGGTGATCTGTAAGCTCATATTTAAATAATATTCGATAATATACAATTAAGGGTCTCATGTTCACATCTTATGTGTAGAAAAAAAAAACACGAATTAGAAAAAGGAAGAAAATTGTCATTGACCAATTTTCTCTCATACATAATACATTTTAAGAGTCTCATGTTCACATCTTTTGTGTAGAAAAAACACTAATTAGAAAAAGGAAGAAAATTGTCATTGACCAATTTTCTCTATATGTATATAATAGAAATAATACTTCATTTGCCCCTAAATTATTACACTTTCTAATGTGGTATCTAAATAAAAGAATTTCTACTAAGGTACTTAAACAAAAAATATTGTTATTAACTTAGATATTAAATAATAATTTGACTAATATAATAAATATATATAAATATAAAATAAATAAATAATTAAAAATATAATTTAATATATATTAAAAATAAGACAAAACATTATAAACCAGCATCTAACTCGAGTTTTATTTTCGGGGAAAATCCTCAATTAGATCCCAAACAAAAATCATATCCATCAGATCTGAAATAATGAAACCCATTTATATAAATATTTTAAAATATAAATTTATATATATATGGTACCAGACAAAACATTCTAAATTGACTTTGATCCGACTTCGATTAAAAAAAAAAAGAAAAACCTTGAATTTATCTAGAACTTTTCAAAACACAGACATTAGATAGAGGGCAATCAAAATCTATGAAGAATGGATTGTTTTGTCATCCTTACTTTTATTAAATTTTTTTCTTGCAAAATGTATCAAAAACATAAAAAGGAAATCTTCAATAAAAAAACAACATGAAGAAAAGAAGGAGACAAAAATAATTGAATTTAGAAGAAGGATAAAAATATGAACTAATCAAGAAGATATATTACATCGAGTACACACCAAAGAAAGAACGTAATTCCAATGTTAAACTACAAATTGTTTATAATTGACATGGTTGAACAAGTAGCAATAGCCCAAGGATCGATTATGTCATCTGTATAAGATTCTTCATCGCCACTTGGTTCAATCGCATTAGCTTCTTCTGACGACGTAATCGACTCCAGCTCCATTGCAACTTGTTTCATTGTAGGCCTTTTCTTTCCATTAAGATTCAAGCATCTTTTTGCCAGCTTTGAAACTGCTACAATCTCTTCTTCTGGACCGTCATTCGTTATGATTGGATCAAAAAAGTCAAATAATGAATTCTCCTTCATTAAGAGCAGAAAAAATGGTACCAAGCTTCTCACTTCCTCTGATTGTCTCGAGGTGATGGGTTTTTGTACCGTCAAAATTTCAACAAGAACAACCCCAAAACTGTAAACATCACTCTTCTCTGTAAATTGACTTGATCGAAAATACTCAGGATCCAAGTATCCGAAAGTTCCTTGCACTCGAGTGGTACGATGAGTTTGTTCAAGTGAAATTGTTCTTGATGTTCGGAAATCCGACACTTTGGCTCTGTATTTATCATCCGAAAGTATGTTGCTGGATTTGATGCCTCGATGATAAATGGGGACAGAAGCAGCCGAATGCAAATAGGATAATGCATCGGCAATTTCTATAGCAATTCGTAAACGCATTTCCCATGTCATTGGGAATTCTTCATTTTGATCATGTTTGAATTGAGACAGTGTTCCATTGGGGATGAACTCATATACTAGCAAAGGGACTTTTGTCTCCAGGCAACATCCTAAAAGCCTAACCACACTTCTATGGTTGATCTGTGATAATATTATCACCTCGTTGATGAACTGTTCAAGCTTCTTTGCATCAACTTTCTTCTCTACCATCATTTTATACTTCTCGATTGCCACAATGCTTCCATCAGCTAACATTCCTTTATAAACAGTTCCTTGGCCTCCTTGACCGAGGATTCGATTCTCGTTATAATAATCATTTGCCTTTTCTAACTTCTTTGAAGTAAACAACCTTATTTTTTCAACATTACATTCATTGCTGGACAATTGTTGTTGCAGTAGTAAACCTCCATTCCTTTTAATAAGAAGAACGTTTCATATAAAGTTTTACACTTACCAAAGCGTGTCTTTCTGGTTAAAGTTGGAGGCAAGACTCAAGAGTAGTGAACGTGATAGTAGCAGGACAAGTATTGAAAGAACAAGGGACATCTTACAGTGCATGTTTGATAAGAAACTGATTTCTGGCCGAAGCCAATGGCAGCTTTATCAGATTGGGTTGTGTTTATTTTGGTGGAGAATGGGAATTTTGGTACTCAATTTGTTGCTGAAATGGTTATAAAATAAGAATATTTGGATTCATACTCCGTATTAGAAAACCTGGTCAACTGCTTTTTCATTCCAAGTCTTTCTTTTTTCGTTTCCTTTTTTGACAGTTGGTCGACGATCATTGTGCGCTTGGATAATTTCTCTTTTTTATTTTATTTTTTTCTTCTAATCTCCAAGACGCCAAATGATGATGCCAGTGTCATTTCAAAATGATGGCAGCGATGATGGCATTGTTGATCTCAAAAATTATCGTCACTGAGGCACCTGGGCTATTCCACCTAAAAACCAAAGTGAACGTGAAGATCCGTACTTAATTTATAATATATTAATTATTTTAATTCGAAATTTATATATAAATATATATTATGTTATATTATATCCCATTAAATCTTCGGCAGCATGATCGGATTGGGATTCTGATTACTTGTGGAGCAGAAAGACGATTGATAGTGGGATTGACTAAATTGTTAATAAACAAGAATATTTGGGTTCATGCACCATATATTATATAGAGCCTGTCCACTAGTTTGTACATTCCAAGTCTTTTCCTTCCTTTGTTTTTTTGTCTTTTTATTGACAATTGCTCGTTGTAAGTTAGGAGAATTGCTATTTCTTTTTCTCTTTTTTAAATTTCCAAAAGATGATAATGGTGGATTGAGAAGATGTATTAACATTATGATAAAGAAAAGATTATAAGAAACTTTTTTTTTTATTTTAGATAAAGAAGATAGTAGGCTGAGGATAAAGGAAGAGATTATAAATATTAAAATTTGAATTTAAATTTATTGAATGACATTGAATAACAATCTATTAATATACATTAGATATGATAATTTTATATTTAGTATGATAATTTGATACTAAAAATGATGTAAAAAAATAAAAATAGCATAGTTTAAAATTGAAAAAAAATCATATAATAGTTTTAAAAAATAATAAAAAATAATATTTTATATTTGATGTTTAAATACAAATTGTGATATGATCATTTTTATATATTTATAAAAATTTGACACCAAATAAATATGATACAAATAAATAAATTGTTACTTTTTTAATTTGTTTTTAATTTGTTACTCCCTTTTGTCTTGTATATAATGTTTATATACTGCCTTAGCTTGTTAGGCTGAATATTTTATCACAACTATGCAAATTATATATATTACCCACTATTTGATAATTGAATTTCTTATGATTAAATCATAATTATTGAAATTATAAGAGTTTAACAATATGTCAATTTACATTTTACATGATATTTTATATTTGACATAATAATACGATATGAAAAATGATATAAAAAATTTAAAATTGCATGGTTTAAAATTGAAAAAATTTTACACATGGGTTTCAAAAATTAAAAAAATATATATTTTATGTTTAACGTGTCGACATAAATTGTGATACGATAATTTTTGTATTTTTAAATGAGTTTGACACAAAACAAATATAATATAAATACATGAATTATCACATCTTTTTATTTGTTTTTAATTTGTTGCTCCCTTTTGTCTTGTATATATGTTTACTAGTTTTTTGCACATGTGTGACGCATTTATAATTTTTATTTCTAAAAATTCAATTTAGTAAATATTTTTTAAATACAATGATAATAAAGATAATACTAACAATTTAATTTTGATTTTAGTATAATATAAATAAATTTTATTAACTTTTAATATATTTTTTATTTTGATAGCATTTGATATGGTTTGATAACCTTTGTTAGAAGGCTGATAATCTTTAAAAAAATTTGGTAACCTTTGTTATTAGTTTAGTAACTTTTAATATAATTTTGGTAATCTTTAATAAAATTTTGATAATTTTTTGATGTAATTTGGTAGCATTTCATATAATTTTAATAACTTATAATATATTTTTAGTAATTATTGATAAAGTTTATGCCATCAAATATTTAATAATGGTCCTGCAACGGATTTCATTATAATATAAAATAATATTATTTGAACCGGAAAGAAATTTGTGTGTAAATCGAGGACTAGGAATATATATATGTGTGTGTGTATGTGTGTGTGAAATTTCATTCAATTTTGAGTAATATAACTCATATTTGCATTACGTACGTACTATTTTATAAGCCAAAAGTAAGGGAGAAACCTTTTCAATTATCTAGTTCTTCCATATGAATCAAGCACAAGGTCTTAAGCAATCTTGTGGTTCTCTGAATTTTGCTTATTATTTTCATTCCATTCTTGAATTTCCATATTTTCCATTGATTTGGTTTCTATTCTTATATAATTGTCCATGTACATAGACGGATTGAGGAATTAAGTGGTTAGCCGAATTGCCCCAATTGCTCCTAATGAGAATCCATAGTGCTATGTCCATATAATTAGTCTCTTTGTAATTTTTTTTCATTGGTAAGAGATTCTTAGATTTCGTTTAATATATTTATTTTTCAGATCGATTTAAACTGGACCTATCAATAAAAATCACACAGTCAAATGAACAACAAATTTTTTTTGCCATTTGAGTCAATATCCGATAGTGGTGTAGTTGTAATTTAACATGATAGCTATAGAATCAGACACATGAGATTTGTTGCAATATTAGCAGTAGCCTGTTTGAGCCTTTGTGTCATCATGTGCTTTTTATTTCTTTGGATTGATCTAGTCTTACACCCCTTTTTATTTCTTTTTACCAAACACATAGTAAAGGGGCAAAAACAAGATCACCTGTAATTATTCAAGATTGGTAGGCTGAATATTTTATCACAAGCGTGCAAATTATATATTATATTATCCACTATTAAAAATTGAAAAACTGCTTGTGCTAAGGTTTCCAGCTTCATTAATTGTATATGTTTGTCTTCGTGCCTTTAGTGGCGTGAAAGTGCAAAATGGGAGCAGAAGACCTAGGAAATTTCTTTGAAACTTATATAAATACTAGGGATATTTTAGTCGTTTACTTTTAATATATTTTGAAATTAAAATTTTAAGTAATTTAATTTCACACAAATTTTATTTTTAATTTTAGTTAAATTTAAATTTAATTTAATTTAATTTAATGAATAAAAATTATATATTTAATGATAAATTTGTTATTTTAAAATTTTATAAAGATATTTAGGCTGATCGCTATTAGTATTTTTAAAATTCACACTTTTATATATAAATAGATAGATAAATATAAATGATAGATAATAGATGATATATATATACACACACACAAACATATATATATTTATATATTAGGTACTTGAATTTATCAAAATTAAATTATGAAAGTTAACTGTTTATCAACAGATCACACTAAAATCTTAAATTTAATTCAATTGATTGATGTAACTATCAATAGCATCCAATAAATTTATGATAAAAATTTTAGCACTTGTAATCCATTCTTTATTATGGGACTATCACCTCCTTTGTCAAAAAGATGGATCACACAATAACCATAAGTCTATATATTTATTAATGAATTCTTCAAGCAGAAGCTAAATCGTCGTTTCCCACTGGGAAAGAAATTAACAATTGAAGGAGGGAGAAATCAAGATAGATCATGGGTGTTCACTTGGTGCTTTTCTTCATCCTGCTGCCATGGCTGACATAAGCAGCAGTATCACAAAAGCCAGACAAGTCCGGTTGTACAGAAAAATGTGGGAATGTTACGATTCCATCCCCATTTGGACTAAGAGACCACTGCTATACAGATTCGTGGTTTAGAGTAACCTGCAACAATAGCTGATTGGGAAAAGCCTTTCATCAGTCGGATCAATCTGGAGCTGCTCGTTTCGTTCTCGCTAGGCAGCGAGGTCCTCGTCAATAATCCAGTAACATACGTCAATTGTAATGGCTCTGCTCATATTAGTGCTGCCGACCTGACTGGCACTCCATTTTTCTTCTCGAGTAAATACAACATATTTGGGTCAGTAGGTTGCGGCAATTTGGCTACTATTTCTGGTAACCAGACTGATCATCCCCCGCGTGGCTGCATACAACCAAGATGTGGCGACCTGGGCATATCTGGCAATGAAACTGACTTTGTTGGTGTTGGAAATCATTACTCAAATTCCATAATAAATTTATTTGAGATTAGTTAGATATTACTTTATGGACAAGAAGATTTATAACATAAGAATTTTAAGAGGAAAAAATTCTTGATAAGCAAATTTATATGTTTCTAAATAGATAAAGTCTCTACAATGTTAGATATGAGAAAAAAATGTAAGAGAGTTATAAGATTTTATGAGACAGACACCTTATAGAACTACTTGAGATTTACATCTTATGATATATATATTTAAATATTTGCAAGTAAATTAGAAGAGACTGAGAGGATCTACATATAGATAGTACATTGGTGCACATGGATATGCGTTTGTTTAGGTTAAGAATAATTCATAAGGCTAGAGGAAAATGAGAAGGTCTATGGGTATTAATTGTGAGTGGTTGCTTTGATTGTATGTTTGCGATTTTCTACAACTAATAGATCTTTTTTTTTTATCCGTAGACATTGGTCAATTAGGCCGAATCTTATTAAATTACTGTCTTTTATGTTATTGATTGATTGTTTGATTTTGTTTTTGTTTGTGTGAATGTTCAATTGGATTGAGGCTTTTTGCCTGAGAACTAGTATCAAAGTAAGGTTGGAAAGAGGAAAAACAAGCCTAGGGGAGTCGATTCAATGGAAGAGTTCGAGTTCATACTTTAATAGATTGGTTTGCATGAAGTTTG